ATATATGCTCATTTCCCAGGGGACGGATGGTTTTGGCATCACTGGCCACTCCCTGTGTTGACAAGGTACTCTTGAATTGGCTTTGCCACCCTTGCCTAACTGACTGGATGCCTTTCTTGTCTTCTTACTGAACAAAAGTGATGTCCCGTTTCTTCTCTCAGAGTTTATCACGGAGACACCTATTCCATAAATTCGAAAATCCTCCTTTCACTCTTCCCCATGCGACAACAGCAGGCGATTCGTTGCCGAGACAGCTCACCTCAGCAGACCAGCAGGGTCAAAGGGGATAAAAGGCTCAACTGCAGATCTATGAATGAGTACTACAGCAAGGTAAAATGTGTGAGGTAATCTCTATATTTTCAGGAAACCTGCATTGACGGAAATACGCATCATTTGCAATGTAAATATACGTTGAGTCAATTAGGTCGATAGATATGTATATGTACATATGCAAATATGCATACATGCATACACATGCAAACATATATACTTATATAGACAGTTTTAGAATATGGCATGTTAGAAGCATTCGAAGGAGGAACACACCAGATCAAAAAATATGTTTTGAAAACAGCTTCTATTACCATTAACATTATCTTTATCATAATCATTATCGATATTATCAGCATCATCAAGATTATTGGTATGATTAATATTATTATTATCAGCATTATTATTATGATTATCATTAGCATTGTGATAATATCATCATTATTACTTTTTCTATTCTCTTTACAGTTATTAGAATTACTATCAACAGGATCATTATTACTATTACTAACATTGTCACTGCAGTTATTATGATCATCTTTTTCTATCATTATCACTATTATAATCATAGTTATTATAACTGGTATGATTATCATAATGCATATAGATACCGTCGGGAATATCGCCATACATCAATAATAATAATATATATATATATATATATATATATATATATATATTATATATATATATACATATATATTGTATATATACTGCACACATATATAAACGAGTATATGCACACGCGTGTGAGTGTGCGTGTGTCTGCAATATGCACAGTTGTATGAACATCGTTTGTTCTTTTTTACCCTGAAAAATCATCCAAAAATCGCCCGTGTCCCAAGACCTTTTGGAAAGGTCAGTGAAAACACAAAGTTCAGCTATGCTGATTTCCTTTCCCTGGTAACCTTTGAAATCAATGGCATAATAATGCACTGACCATAAGTTCGAAGGCCTCCAAGCGACGAGATTTGGAGTGCAAGAAAGCCTTGTAAACAAATACTTTGGGATTTTTTCTTATTATTGGTGGGGGATTATACATAAATAACAATAGGTATAAAACTGTATATAAGTGCAAAGATATTACGGATAAGATAAACAAATACTTTGGGACAGTGCTTTTTCTTAGTTTGGTGGGGGGTTAAGCATAATTAACAAGTATAAAACTGTATATAAGTACTAAGATATTACGGATAAGATATCTTATGAGACTCAAAAGCTTTGGGACACATTTCCACAATTAATATGCCTTTTGTTTGATTTTTAAAAAATGGTTAAAAGTTTTTAGTGCTATGGAATGCAGTTTCTTTGGCGTATAATATGGTACTCAATCACACACATCCAGAAGAACATTAAATGGGTGACCAGTCGTTACATTTGGGTAAACTTGTGCGATTCCCTCCATCAGATAGGAACGAGGTCCTTCACCTTCTGTGGTCCTTCCCAGCACCATAAATACGGGGAGAGGAGCTGGGGTCGAAGCAGAATCCTGTACGCCCTCGCCGGAAACGCAAGCAGGTAAGGGGGCCACTTTTTAGAAATCTCTCTCTTCTTTTGGCATCAATGGTGATATGTAAATACCGATCATAGACGTAATATCTTAATGATAATATTTTATGGACAGAAAATAATGCATCCCGCATATATTCTTCCATACATATTTTTAAACCACTAAATTCCTCCTTCAGCTTCAACCACAATATAACCATGAACTCTCGCGTGTTCGTCGCTCTCCTCCTGTGCGGCCTCTGGGCCTCCTCCGAGTCTCTCATCCTCTTGGGAACCACGCCGCAGCCGGGACCATCGCCGCTACCTGTCACTGCTTCTGCAGCGCAGCTTTGGGCGTGGGCGCCCTGGCAGTGCTCAAGGGAGTTCTTATCGGGAAGCATCTCAAGCGCCGTTACAGGAGGGACGTCGATTCTATGGAGATCGACGATGAAGCTGAGGTTTGTACTGACGATGTTAAGAGGAATGTTCATATTGCAAGTTCAGATGGACATATTATATTTCTAGACGTGCTTCTCACCAACACAGATGATATGCACTGCGCGGTGTATCTAATCCAATATATTTTGCTCCTCCAAAGGTGGCCGTCGCCAAGGAACTGGATTCGGCCGGCTGCATCGCCAAGCTGTGCGAGATCGAGGCGACGCCCGCCGACAGCCTCACCCCATCCATGTCCACCTTCAAGACGGCCTTCGAGAATCCCGACAACCTCAAGTCCTCCCGCATCGAGTACGACCAGGCCATCGCCCTCGCCAAGGACGACCCCAAGGCGTGCAGCGTCCGATTCGACAAGTGTGTCCTTTCAAGGGAGGATCTCTTCGTCATGCTCGACACCGTCTTTCATGCTAGATAAAACCTCACACCGCTCATTTTATACTCACCCATCACTCATTTTTATATAAGCAATTGTCCTCAATGAATTTACTTGATGTTCCCTTTCTCATCTTGAACAATCATCAACATTACACATTATAATTCACATCCACAACCATGAGGAAATGCAACTGTGATTCCCTTTCCCTGAGCAGAGATTAGCTGTCAAGAGTCAAAGGCTGGAATCTCGTGCAAAGTGACTGACTAGAACTGAAAACCTGCTTCCGAGCTTGCAATAAAGACTAAAATTGATCCCTTTCGATACTTATTTATTTACCTGTCTCTTTACTACAATTCTATAAAAACATGCGTGTACACACTCACACACACACATTTATATATATACATATAATACATGGACATATACATATATACATTACGTATATTTGCATATATATACGCACGTATACATATAGATTGATAAGTTATATATACATTTATATGCAAATACACAAACAAATGTAGATATTTGAATTCGACTCTTGATGTAATATTTTCACCACACGCCTGAGCAATATATTCTGAATACAGTTGACTTACAGTGTGGCCACCATATACCACCACCGAATACGAACTGTTCAGCACACGGCGGATTCGCACGGCTCCCTGGCGATGAATCTGCGGATTCAAAACAAGCGTTTTCATAGAACGTTCGCGTAGGACTAGTATGGCCGGCTAACGAACTAGGAAAAATTACTCATTAGAGCAATCCTATAAATGAAATTGAATTATTCATAAACATAGCTTAGGCCACAGCAATTTTTTTGAATAGCGGGCAAGTCTGGTGATGATGAATGGCGGGAGGGAAAAAATCCCCAGCACCAAAATAAGACAAGTGTACCTCTACCTTCCAATGATCAGAAGTAAAGGAATGTATCAGTTCCAGCCCACCTGGAGGAAGTACAATTCTGCCTTACTGCAAGTCTTCTAGGAGTTGAATACAAACTAAGAATTCTTTCAACCAGAATTTATTATTTTGGAAAAAAAAATCGACTTATAATATATATATATATATATATATATATATATATATATATATATATATATATATATATATTCCATTTTGTACAGGTAGGAAAAGGATATGAAATGAAATTCAACATAATGCGAAATACGCCAGTACTGATCAGAAGCGACCACCGACCACGGGCACGATAGACAACAGACATGGCATGACGCATGAGAGTAAGGTATTTCCACCAAATATATTTTATTTTTGTTTTGGGGACGGGAGAAAGATGCCATACAACAATGAATCATAGACAAATTTATTTATATTTATTCATTTGCTATTTCTTCCGCGTACGTCACAATATCGGCGGGAAATTTGAAAAAATTAATCGGGATTTTTTTTTTTTTTCATTTTCTTAGAAATAAATGTCGGCGGGCCCCATTCAAGAAAAAAAACGATGGCCTTAGAGTATGAAGTGATACGTGGAATACTTCATGATTCTTTTGCACATACACATATGTGTATGTATATTATATATAGATATATATAGAGAGAAAGAGATTTATATATATAATCAGTATATATTTATGAGTATATTATACATTCTCTTGTATATACATATACCTGTATACACTTACATACACATATGTGTATGTGTATATGTAATTGTATATATGTATGCATACATATGTATACACGCGTATGTATGTATATGTGCACGTACACGCACACACATATATAATGTTGCAAGTGTATGTATGTTGTGTTCGTGTGTAAATCCATCTAACCGCTATTTATTTACGTACATACGTACATACATATACATATATATGCACACACCCACACGCGTGCGTCTGTGGACTTAAAATGTGAATACAAATACATATAAAGCGATGTCTTGTAACGAACGTTCAGAGAAGCAGATACAAGCACATTTGCGTTGAGGAAGCACGTACGTAAGGATTGAAATACTATACTAATTTAACGTCAATAGGCCTTACCTGCACCATAGGATACGTTCGCTTTCCCTCTCACCCAGGATCAGGTCCGTCACCCGCCTGCCTCCGTCCACTCGCTATAAATATCGCTCTGCCCAGGAACCGCCATCACACTCGTCCTCACTGCTCCAGAACACAAGCAGGTAAGGGACAAAGATCCTCTTTTCTGGTTCTTCTGAAATTGTTTCCTGTGAGACTCTTGAATATGTCTCAGGTCGTCGACTTCTGACGATTTTAGCTTTCTGCGTAGCCTCACTGTCAACTTTTCTCCTCACAGACTCCGCCACCATCATGAATTCTCGCGTGTTTGTCGCTCTCCTCCTGTGCGGCCTCTGGGCCTCCTCCGAGTCTTTCATCCTCTTGGGAACCACCGCCGCAGCCGGGACCATCGCCGCTACCACTGTCACTGCTTCTGCAGCGGCAGCTTTGGGCGTGGGCGCCCTGGCAGTGCTCAAGGGAGTTCTTATCGGGAAGCATCTGAAGCGCCGTTACAGGAGGGACGTCGATTCCATGGAGGAGGACGTTGCAACAGAAGTAAGTTAACGCTTTTATTAATTACTTTCATAAAATTTAATTGTGCAATTATGTATATGTGGAATGAAAGGCACATACATAAAGGAATTCTGGACTTTACTAATAATATTCTTTTCACTCCAACAGATTGCTGTGGCCCAGAAGATGGACTCTGCTGGTTGCGTGGCCAAGCTCTTGTGCGAAATCGAGGCCATGTCCGCTGACCAGCTCACGCCAGCCATGTCCACCTTCAAGACCGCCTTCGACAACAACAGCAACCTCAAGGGATCCCGAGGCGTCTACGACCTGGCCATCACCTTCGGCTCCAAGTTCGCCAAGAAAGACGCCAAGGCCTGCAGCGCCCTCTTCGACAAGTGCGTCCTCTCCAGGGACGATCTCTCCTTCATGCTGGATTCCACTTCTCATGCTAGTCATGAGCACCGCATTCTTACACTAAGCACCTCACAATCACACCATCACCATGCATACACGCAGGCAGACTGAGTGGATCGGAGTCGTCACTGTGACCGAAGGTAGCTTTCAGACTGTCACTGACTGGACCTGAGAGTCACAGTGAATATCTGCAGTGTTCATAACGCTATTCATTCTTGCTTACCATCAAGTGAAATAAATCATATTTCTCCGAGAAATTACATTTATTTTCCAACCCTTCGCTAAATACGCATACAAATGGTGATGTATATATAATATATTCATCCATATATATGCATATACATATATATATATATACATATATAATATATATATTACATAATATATATATATATATATATTATATATACATATATATTATAATATATATATATCATATACATATATGTCCATATATATGTATAGTTATATCTATATGTATAGAGATATATCCTGATATATATACATATATATACCATAAATATACCTTTATATATATTATATATATATACTGATATATATACCTATATACCATAGATATACCTTTATATATTGTATATATACATATATACCATAGATATACCTTTATTTATATAGTATATATACTGATATATATACATATATATTATATATACGTTGCATATATAAACATATATATATATGCTCTATAAATACATATATATATACTGTATAAATATATGTATGTATATATGCATGTGACTGTGTATATGAAATATAATTTTGTTACCCTGCTCATTTCCCAGGGGACGGATGGTTTTGGCATCACTGGCCACTCTCTGTGTTGACGAGGTACTCTTGAATTGGCTTTGCCACCCTTGCCTAATTGACTGGATGCCCTTCTTGTCCTCCTACTGAACAAAAGTACTGTTCCGTTTTTCTCTCAGATTATATAACGAAGACAAATATTTCATAAATTCGAAAATCCTCCTTTTACTCTTCCCATGCGACAATAGCAGGCGATTCGTTGCCGAGACAGCTCACCTCAGCAGACCAGTAAGGTCAAAGGGGAGATAAAAGGAACCTGCAAATCTATGAATGAGTACTACAGCAAGGAAAACGTGTGAAACCTTTGAGGAAATCTATAGTATTGAGAAACCTGCATTGACGGAAATACGCGTTATATGCAATGTAGATATACGTAGAGTCAGTTGGGTCGATAGATATGTATATGTACAAATGTAAATATATGCATACTCACATGTAAATATATATATACATATATAGACAGCTTTTTTAAATTTTGTTTTGAAAACAGTTTCTATTATCATTAAAATTAATATTACCATTGTCAATATCAGCATCAAGTTTATTAGTATTAAAATCATTAACATTATTATGATTGTTATCATCATTATTACCTTTTTCTGTTGTCATTACAGTTATTAGGTTTACTATCATCAATGGAATCATCATTATTACTATCATTGTCACTGAACTTATCACTTCTATGAGTATCACTATTATAACTATAGTTATCATGGCATAATTATCATAATGCATATCGATACCGTCGGGAATATCGCTATATGTCAGTACTGAATGTACTATACATATATATACCTACATATATAGATATATACATATATTGTATATATGTTGCACTCACATATATAAACGAGTATATGCATACGTGTGTGTGTGCGTTTTAGTTCAGTTAGATTTACGAAGACTAGCTCCGCTCGCGCCTTTTCTCTGGAGTGGCTAGGCCTGTGTCAACTATTTCTAGTTGACTAATGTTTTCTTTGAACTGTATGCTTATCGTGGTGGCTGGATTGCAAGCAAGCGATCCAGCTGCCACGGTATAAGCATGTGGCATACCTTTTTTACCAGCCCGGCGGCTGTGGTGGGTGGTCTATGTCTCAGAATTTGCGTGTGTTCACAATTCTGCAAGTAATGTAATAGGGTGGCGTTAGGCTCGCCGCAATGCTTGCATTCTCTGACAACCACGTAATCAATAATTTGCCAAACGAATGGGTAACCTAGTCTTAATCTGTGCAGTATGACCGGTAACTCTTTTTATGTTTGTAGGAAGGGCCAGTGGCTCATTGCCTGTGGCATTTGAGTACCACTTGGCAGCGAGCGAATTTGTGATATTTTCTCTGTGCATGCCCCGGAGAACTGCACACGCTGTAGCTTTGGAATTTTGGCTCAGTCTCCTTAGCGATCATGAAGGTTGCGGGCATACCCCTGCCCTTTTCGGCTAGTCTTTCAGCAAGCTCATTCCCTTAGATGCCTATGTCGCTTGGAACCCAGTTTATGATGATTCTTATACCCTGATCAAGGATTCTTTTGGCTATGTTGATTATAGATGTCAGAACGTAGATGTTATCTTGGGGCATGCTATGCTGTAGACTGTCAATGGTTGCTCTAGAGTCTGTATGTATGACCACGTGTCCATCCCTTAGGGACGCGTGTACCAGGGCTTCCATGATCACGACCGTTTCAGCTTGGAGCGATGAGGCATTGTCAGTGACCCTAATGGATGTTGTGGTACCCCTTGCTGCGAGGCTGGCGCTTGCAGTGTGTTATTTGAACAATGACCTTTTGTACTTTTGCCTTTAGGTTTGGCATAGAGTATTGATCTTTTCTCCTTGACAGGCTTAGGACTGAGAATTCGATCAAATTGTTTGCCCATGGCGGGTTTTTTTTTATAGTCAGGGTGAGGAGAGCCCATGCCCTTGGCAAGCAGTGGTTCTTTGAGGTGGAAGCGTATCAACACTCTGGCTGTGTGTGTGAGTCAAGAGCTGTCCGCAAACAGCTGATAGTCTTGCTGTCGGCGTCTGAGTACTTAAGTATGAGTTTCGGGTTGCCTGCAAGACCTTGGAAAGGAACTGGGCTGCCATTAAATCAATGCGGGTGTCTAGGGACGGTAAGTCGGTCTTCATGAAGATGCATGTTTGTAATATGCAGTTATATGAACATCATTTTACATACCACTTGTTCTTTTCTAACTTGTAAAATCACCCAAAATCGCCTGTGTCCCAGGAGCTTTTGGGAAAGGTCAGTGAAAACACAAAGTTCAGCTATGCTGATTTCCTTTCTCTGGTAACCTTTGAAATCAAATGCATAAATAATGCACTGACCGAAGTTCGTAACCCCTCCACGCTACGAAATTTGGGAAGGCACGAACGTTTGTAAACAAATACTTTGGGACAGTGATTTTATTATTATTTTATTATTATTATGTTGACGAAGGATTATACATAATTAACAATATATATGAAACTGTATGTAAGTTTTAAGATATTAAGGATATGATATCTTGTGAGACTCAAAAGTTTTGGGACACATTTCCACAATGAATGTGCTTTTTGTTTGATTGAAAAAAATGGCAAAAAGGTTTCTCGTGCTATGAAATGCAGTCTTCTTTGGCGCATAATGTGGTACTCCCTCATACATCACATTAAGTGGGTGACCAGCCGTTACATTTGGGTAATCTTGCGCGATTCCCTCATCAGATAGGAACGATGTCCTTCATCTTGTGCAGGTCCCTTCCAGACCTATAAATACGGGGCGAGGCGCCGGGGTTGAAGCCAGAATCCTGTGCGTCATCGCCAGAAACGCAAGCAGGTACGAGGGCGGGACCTGTGGTGCAGTTTTTGGAAATATTTCTTACCTCTTACCTAGTATTGATTGTGATATACACATAGTGCTCATGAATATGTAAGAATGTATGAATGATAACATTCTATCGACAGTAAATAATGAATCCCGCATATTTTCTTACGTATTTTTTTTTAAACCACTAAATGTCTTCCTTTAGCTTTCAACCACAATATAACCATGAACTCTCGCGTGTTCGTCGTCTCCTCCTGTGCGGCCTCTGGGCCTCCTCCGAGTCTCTCATCCTCTTGGGAACCACCGCCGCAGCCGGGACCATCGCCGCTACCACTGTCACTGCTTCTGCAGCGGCAGCTTTGGGCGTGGGCGCCCTGGCAGTGCTCAAGGGAGTTCTTATCGGGAAGCATCTGAAGCGCCGTTACAGGAGGGACGTCGATTCCATGGAGATCGACGATGAAGCTGAGGTATGTACTGACGATGTTAAGAGGAATGTTCATATTGCAAGTTCAGATGGACAAATTATATTTCTAAACGCGCTTCTCACCAACACAGATGATATGCAGTGCGCGGTGTATCTAATCCAATATATTTTCCTCCTCCAAAGGTGGCCGTCGCCAAGGAACTGGATTCGGCCGGCTGCATCGCCAAGTTGCTGTGCGAGATCGAGGCGACGCCCGCCGACAGCCTCACCCCATCCATGTCCACCTTCAAGACGGCCTTCGAGAATCCCGACAACCTCAAGTCCTCCCGCATCGAGTACGACCAGGCCATCGCCCTCGCCAAGGACGACCCCAAGGCGTGCAGCGTCCGATTCAACAAGTGTGTCCTTTCAAGGGAGGATCTCTTCGTCATGCTCGACACCGTCTTCTCATGCTAGATAAAACCTCATATCACTCATTTTATACTCACCCATCACTCATTTTATATAAGCAATTGTCCTCTTAAGGAATATCCTTGATGTTCTTTCTCGAACAATCATTCAACCATTACACATTCAAATTCACATCCACAACCATGAGGAAATGCAACTGATTCCCTTTCCCTGAGCAGATTAGCTGTCAAAAGTCAAAGGCTGGAATCTCGTGCAAAGTGACTGACTAGAACTGAAAACCTGCCTCTGAGCTTGCAATAAAGACTAAAATTGATCGTTTTGATACTTATTTGTATACCTGTTCTTTACTACAATTTATAAAAAACACATGCGTCTGTACACACATATATGCATATATATATATATATATATATATATATATATATATATATATATATATATATATATATATATATATATACATATATATACATATGTATGCATATATATATACATATTCATATAGAATTATAGGTATATATACATTTATATGCATATAAACGAAATATGTAGACATTTTCACTACACGCCTGAGTAATTCATTATGAATACAGTTGACTTAATGTGGCCAGCATAACCACCATCAAACACTCTTCAGCACACGGCGGATTCGCACGGC